ACGTGAGTATCTGATAAGCTGTTTATTTGTGTTATGATCCAATGCTGCACAACTGAACTGATCCAATGCTGCTGTGAAAGAAAGAAGCTATATCCATGTTGGATAGAATATCCAATTTAAATAAAAAAATAACCTTAAGGGACAACTTGAATGCTTTTTTTTCTCTTAATGCATTGCATAAAGATCGGATCGGGAAAAATCGGTATCGGCAAATTGTCAAAATCAAATTATCGGAATCGGATCGGGAGCAAAAAAAGATGATCGGGACATCCCTACTGGGTACACTCAAGTATTGGGAATGTTTATTTATTTAGAATATTATGGAGCTACATCATTCCTTTGTATAATCAAAAAGGTGAATATATAAGTTAATTGATTGCCAAAAAAACAACAAAACAATATTTTTGATAATAATTTGAGTCGTTGTTTCTTCATACCTGTTTGATGACCACCATATTGAGGCTGTTACGGGACTTCATGATACTTACATCAAACATCTGAACTTATACCTTCATTCAGCAAAATATAAATGAATTGATAATCAATTAAGTTGTCTCTTCTTTTGACATCAATCTAAATCCCTTGGAGGAACACTTGATTCCCTAAAGTATTTGGGATTATTTGAATATATATATATATTCTTTGCATAATATTGGGCTAAAATAGTCATTTATTGGGAAAATAAATCAATGTTTATAATAATGTAAGACTTTCTGAATCTGTTGATTTACTCAAATATTTTGCATTTTTTCACTTTCAACATACTGTGAGCCGTTCATTTATAGGGCTTACATTTTAAATGATTAATAATATATATATATAACCTTGATTACCATGTATGATTCATAAGGATTCACATACTTTGACATATGGACAAAAGTTACAGCGTTGGCCATGGAAATCTTCTCCAACAATACATCATACATAACAGTGCCATAAAATAAATGAAATGGTTCAAGTAAGTTGCAGGAATTAGAAAGATATATACATACAGTCCGAGATAAAATATTAGTGGAACACAGTAGAATAAATACGTAAAGATAATTAAATATGTGGATATGAGGAAGAAAATATGTTCAATGAACCGTGTTTTATGAACAACAATCAAGGGAATCTTGACCTGGACCTTTTTTAAATAAAATGATAGTTAGTTGTAGCTAGAGATGTCCCGATTCGATCACGTGATCGGGGATCGGAGCCGATCACGTGATTTTCAAAAGATCGGAATCGGGAGAAAAAAATCGGGGATCGGGATTTTAAAA